GATAGAGCTCATATGCTTATCTTTGTGAAGTGTGGATACAGCTTGTATGCTTATCTGTGGATATTGTTGATATACATATCTGTTGTAGAGTGTGGATATAGCTTGTATGCTTATCTGTGGATATTGTTGATATACATATCTGTTGTAGAATGTGGATATAGCTTGTATGCTTATCTGTGGATATTGTTGATATACATATCTGTTGTAGAATGTGGATATAGCTTGTATGCTTATCTGTGGATATTGTTGATATACATATCTGTTGTAGAGTGTGGATACAGCTTGTATGCTTATCTGTGGATATTGTTGGTATACATATCTGTTGTAGAATGTGGATATAGCTTGTATGCTTATCTGTGGATATTGTTGGTATACATATCTGTTGTAGAATGTGGATATAGCTTGTATGCTTATCTGTGGATATTGTTGGTATACATATCTGTTGTAGAATGTGGATATAGCTTGTATGCTTATCTGTGGATATTGTTGGTATACATATCTGTTGTAGAATGTGGATATAGCTTGTATGCTTATCTGTGGATATTGTTGATATACATATCTGTTGTAGAGTGTGGATACAGCTTGTATGCTTATCTGTGGATATTGTTGGTATACATATCTGTTGTAGAATGTGGATATAGCTTGTATGCTTATCTGTGGATATTGTTGGTATACATATCTGTTGTAGAATGTGGATATAGCTTGTATGCTTATCTGTGGATATTGTTGGTATACATATCTGTTGTAGAATGTGGATATAGCTTGTATGCTTATCTGTGGATATTGTTGGTATACATATCTGTTGTAGAATGTGGATATAGCTTGTATGCTTATCTGTGGATATTGTTGATATACATATCTGTTGTAGAGTGTGGATACAGCTTGTATGCTTATCTGTGGATATTGTTGGTATACATATCTGTTGTAGAATGTGGATATAGCTTGTATGCTTATCTGTGGATATTGTTGGTATACATATCTGTTGTAGAATGTGGATATAGCTTGTATGCTTATCTGTGGATATTGTTGGTATACATATCTGTTGTAGAATGTGGATATAGCTTGTATGCTTATCTGTGGATATTGTTGGTATACATATCTGTTGTAGAATGTGGATATAGCTTGTATGCTTATCTGTGGATATTGTTGATATACATATCTGTTGAGAATGTGGATATAGTTTTTTTATACTTATCTGAATGTGAGATATAGTTTTTATACATATCTGTGGAAATGATGATAGAGCTAGCATGCTTATCTGTTGAAAAAGGGAAAATGAAAAGTAATTGGGACTTGTAAGTCGTTGACATAAATATGTAATTTATGTGATCGAATCAGTGTTGACCAACTATCAATTGCTAATGTTTTAGTCATTGTCCATGGTTGGTTTAGTGTATTTCTACTGGGCTGTGGCTCACCCTATATGGGAATATCATTTTCAGGTACAGGAAGCATGCCACCTCCAAGGACATAGCTGGGAGGCTAGTGGCGGGCATAGTTTTGTCGTTTTACTTTTGATGTATTACATGTAATTTCAAGCCAAGGGCTTAATGTGTAAACGAGTTAGAACTCTTTGTTGTAACCAAGTGTTAACTTGGAAAGCTGTAAGCCCGTAGGGCATTTTGTTATGGGGTTAACATGTAATACTTATGTCTTGGAATTCTAATGAATGAAAGGAATGCAGTTAGTTTAAATGTAAATGCATGTCTTACCTGATGGGTTTATTGTTATTATTTTGGGGGCGTTACAATAAGGTGCTCATGGCTAAAACAATCAAATCCAAAATTCAAGGTGTGAGTGGCAATTTGGCTGAAATCTTCATATCAGTGGAGCTTCATTCTCAGTTAATGGAGTTGTTTTCAATTTTTAATAACTCAGGAGTTGTCTTGGGTCTTCATTCTCAGTTCTGCTAATTTTTGCTGATGTTGTGTGCTATTTTGCTGGCGTTTTTGCTTTGGTTTTTGGGTTTTTATTTGCTCTGTTCTGTTTGATTATGCTGCTGCTGGTTTTATGAAAAAGCTGCATGTTCAACTTTCAATTGGCCATTGATGGTTTAGTTTAACTATGGCTATAGTCTTAAATGTTTCAAATGTTACAGCTTTTTGTTAAAGAATCTCTGGTATGGTTTTGATGGTCAAATTGGCAAGAAATTATGTGTCTTTTTATCTAACACTGAACACGCAATGAGACGAGCTGAATTTACAAATACACTAGAACTAATGACATTGTGTGCAGCTGAGATTGCTTGATTGAGATGTGCAATTTGAACATGGGTTCTATTCTATTGCAGGTGCTTATCTTGCAAGATAGTGTAGAAGATAAGGATAATGAGATCACAAGGTTGAAGCAGGAGTTGCAGCAGAGGAGCATAGTGGAAGAGGTGAAGACTGAGGTAGCTTATGATAAGAAAGATGGTGACATCGATGGAGGGGTGCTATGTCCTGAAGCAGAAACAGAGAGTTAGTAAACTTACATATCCGAAAGGACTTCACCTCCCCCCCCCCTCGGGCTCTCGCTGTCTGTATATTGTACATTAATTTTGGTTTTTTTATATTTCTTGACTTAAATTTTCTATATCTTTTAATAGGCCAATAATTTTTGATGCATAGGCATGATTTTTGAATGGAACTGCTCCCTTTCCCAACCCTCCCATTAAATGGTTGATTGTGGAGGCTGCAAAATGGGAATTGGGAAGTTCAGGACAATACTAGGGATGACATTCTTCCTCTCACACCATTTTTTTTAGTGTGCATACGGGGATTGTGTTCATTATCAATTTAGGGTTTAGAGAATATGTGCTAGAATGAAACCTATACTTTGCTATCATATTGATGGGTAGGCAACCATAAATGTTTTCAAATTTTTGGAATTGGTTTTTGCAGGATTTGAAAATGATGGATGTTTTTGAACTTTTCATTGTTTTTGTTTTTGAAAACAAAGAAAATGAAAATACAACCAAACAGGTTACTACAGTTCTCTTACAAGTTTATTGTGCATTTAAAAGTTATAGGATGTCCATTCAATAATTTTACCCTTTCTCAATATATTGTAGGGGACGAAAGAGTTGAATCCTAAGTTATTCTTTGTTTAGGCAGGCTGAATTAGATAGGATTAACATTCTTAAATTTATTAGCTTTAGAATTATCAACGCCTTTAGGATTGTGTCTCATAGGTGAAGTTTTAAATCGGAGTAATATTATCATTTTGAATTGATTTATTACCACTAAGTTTCGTAGCACATGATATCAAACAAATTGTTGTCAGTGCCTTTAGGCACGGGTTATCTCTAGTTTTTTATGGGTGGGAAACTATGCTAGTTGTGCACAGCCCAGAGCCAACAAATAGCAAAATACAGAAACCAAAATATCATGCAAAAGTCATTATATTTCAGTATACAACTCTAGCATCTACCAAAACTACTCACAAGAAAGCTACAAAGACTTCCACAATACCACCATTCAAAA